ATATCAAAAATAAATAAATAGATAAAGTTGTCGTTTTTATACAAATATCAATATAACATAAATTAATTACATATTAGGCACCACTTTAAAAATATTTACAAAATTAACATTCGAGTTTTTTACACATTTAACAAGGCACGTTGCAGGGGGCGCGCCTTACACATAAGTAGTGCATCGATGCATCCCATTAATAGTGAAACATCGAATGCAATCGGTGCATCGATGCATAAGGAGTGCATCGATGCATCCCAGCAATAATACTACATCGAATACCTTTTATGCACGATGCATCAGTAGTGCATCGATGCATACCTTCATTAAAAGATGAAATTGACTTTTCTCTTTGTCTAAAGAGTGAACCATTAGAGTCTATTAGTTGTAATACTGATATAAATCCATGTGTGGTTATGTAGATACTAAAAGTAAGCTTATTCCGGAACGATCAAAGAATTAGAATCGAATCAAAGCAAAGCTAAGGTAAGTGCATACTATATGTATATTATAATGGAATAAGACTTGTGATAAGTCTAATCACTATGTTGATTTTTATAATATAATAGTTGTGAACATGCATACATGATCATTGTTGTGATACATGCGTAAAACATATATATGTTCATGTGATATGATATGTGATATGACATGTGATATGAGAACATGATATGAAGTGACATGAGCTACATGATCACAAGAGAAATGACATGAGCTACATGATCACAAGAGAAATGACATAAGTACATGAACGTATGAAAAATAAGAATAATGCCCATAGTATACGATATGAGAACTATAGGTGTAATTGGCATGCCAAGAGTCGAGGGTTCTACGTGGTCCTTCGGGACATATATATAATTATGTGGAACCTATATGTGGTACTTCGGTACACTGATTGGAGCCATTGTATTATGTATGTGGTTCTTAAGGAGAAGTCCTTCGGGACATAGTCCTTCGGGACATAGTCCTTCGGGATGTAGGGGTCCTACGGGACATAGATAATAGTCCTACGGGACGAATACTGAACTAAGGTTCGGTGCCCCATGAGGGAATTGATACGAGCTGTGGTGACAGCATTAGTGCACAACCTCAATGCACTCACATACCTCTATTCTCAATAATATACATGGGCAATGCAATTGAAATACCAATTTAAAGTGAAAGTGATCCAAGAAGGTAAGTTTCGTATGTGCATTATATGGTTATATATGTTATCGTGTGATAGATACATGCATATTGAGATGTCATGATCCAATGGTAAGTATGAACATTCATAAGTTTATTGTTGCATATTCATTTATTGCCTCACTAAGTCTATGACTTAGCGTGTAAGTGATTTACACGTAGGTACCAATAATCAGGAAAGGTGGAAATAGAAGTAGCACGGACAACAATACTACTAAGAGATCAGTTCAGAAGTAATTGACAAAATATGTACTTGGTTATGTATAGAATGTTGGCATGTAATAAGTGTTAATTACGAATACTCTGATCGATTTTGTATTTTATGGTTTTATGTAAATTAATGTGTTTCGTTTTAATGAAAGTTTTAAAAATTTTCGGGATTTTCAATAAGAGTCAAAGTTTAAAAAGTTAATGTGACACCTTGGACTTGTATTCAGGTCGGATATGAGTTAAGGGTGTTACACGACTCCTAAGGAAAAAGGATCAAAGCCTTTCTTCCTTAAGCGAAGGCGTGGAGAACTTCCACAGGTGAAGGGTGCTGTTAATTTATTCAGTCAGGTAAGAATCAGGAGAGGGGCATCGTATACTTTGTTTCTTCTTTGTTCCGATTTTACGCCATGCCACTTTTCTTTTATAAACAACATATTGAGCATGAATTCTTGCTAAGTTCTCAGGGAACATAATAAATTCAATGCATTGCAGTGCTTTGGCTGTGTTGGTGCATTACAGAGACAATTACAAAGTCCAGTGCACTTGCACTTTAGTTGTTCACTGCAAGTCACTCTCATTTTATTGATTGCCATTTTTCTAATAGGAGAGCTCTTTCTCTACTCGAATTTAGGGCTTCTAGTTTCCAGCTAAACCAGTACTTTGCACACTTGAAAGCATACGCTTTAATATATTTATAAATTGAATGTCTATGACCAATCATGTGGGAGTTTTCCTGATATATTTTTTCTTCGGTTAAAAAATGTGAACCAGCATTGAAATCGGATGCAGATAACAAATCTTCAATGGCATCCATGTTTTTTTTGTATAGCAACTTTGAGTTGATCGATTGAAAGCTCGTTGATTACGAGCTAATAACTTAGCACTTCCTAAAGATGCCAATAATGATCTTTTCATGAACACTTCTAGTTTAGTCCTGTTTTATATATGATAATCATTGATATCTACTGGACCGTGTTTAGGAACAGTAGTAGTTTATGTGTGTGCCTTCAAATCTTCATCTAATACTTGTAAATTTAGTGGCATCATAAATTTGTGAGTAATTCTAATGTGATGACATTAATTCATGATTTTAAACCAGGGAAAGAACCTTCATCATGTTTTTTTTATTCTAATGCACTGCAGTGCCTTTTGTACTGTATTCAAGCTGAGAGCAAGTGGCTGCTATGTGGTGTAGATCAACCAACGGGTAAACCTATCTCCTCAAGATACATTAACTTATTTTCTTTGCAATGTAGTCAAAGGTACTGAACTTAACCCAGTATTTCTTATAGGTGGCTCTAATGTACCGTAATTTAGAACGAACAGAGTCGATCTTTTAATAATTTATCGACTTCCCTTTGAAGCTTGGAACTTTTTGGTATGACAGTGAATCTCTTGCCTGTTGTTCTCTTACCGTAATTTATCCTTTTTTTTGTTTTTTTTTATCATGAGTGGTTCTAGATTGATTTTCCAATGATGTTTTTGTTTTCTCTTCAAGTGTAGATTTGTAAACTATGGATATTGCTTTTATGTAACTCAGGCATATACGCATATTTGAGCAGACTTCATAATGTCTCTGGTTCTTTCATGTTGTAACATTCTAGCTATTGCTGTGGATTTTATGAGTTACTCGTTCCTTCTCTTTTTCATTTTTGACCAGCATGCCACGATGTCCGTCAATCTCTATCGATGTCTTTTTTTCTTTTCTAAACATTAAACGCCGTTGGCTGCATTTTGATGCGCGTATACATTACTGATGTCGAGAAGAGACATCGGTGTAACTTGTTTTAGTGTAGATTTTAAAGAAGTGTTTTCTTTCAATCTCCATCAATGTCTGAAGTTGTGGAATTCCAATGCAAAATTTCAATGGAGGTGCATGCCTTGCACTATAGTTTTAGATTTAAGACTCGTGGCCGTGACGTGACGGGACGAGGGATTATATATATACACACATGAGGCAGATCTAATTACACAGTGTAAAACTCGTTTAGTTTTTTACTTTTTTAGTACCATTAGATGAGAGAAACTAAATATTAAAATTAATATTAGAAAATGAGAAGATATTCTTTTAAAAGAAAAACATTTTAGCCTTTGATTTTCCCCAATCGAATAGTCCTAAAAAGATGTAAAATTAAAAATAATTGTATAAAGTTTAAATGAATCATAACCCTATATATTTATATATATATATATAAAACTAGATGGATAGATGGGTAAAATAAAAAGAAAGTAATTAATATGTTGAACCATCTTTCAAAAATAAAATTAAAAATGTATCAAATATTTTATTTATTTATGTTTATTTTAAAAATATAAAATTTAAATATAAGACTGAGTAAATAATTTTGAAATTATTTATACATCTAATTGTTTGGTAAAAAATAACATGACATGGAGAAAATCATTTATTTAATTATGCTTGGTAATTGAATTGGATTATTGTTAATTCGAAAGAATGACGAGCATAACTTTACCTACCAAAGAGTGATGGGTGGTGACAGTGACAGTAAACGTGAGGCTAATAGGTGAAGAGGTGACCTACCAATTGAATGTGTTTCACTGCTCGTTCTTCACGACAACCTTCACGCTTCTTCAGGTCAAGAACTCGTAGTTATTTCTTTATTATTTGTTTTTTATTAATCTTTTGCTGTCAACTCTCTTATTTTTTTATTTTATTTTATCAATTTATGGACTTTTATTTTAGGGTACTGTTATATTTTAAAGGTAAATTATAAATTTTATTGTTTAACTTTATTTTCTTACTCTTTAAATTTTAAAAAATTTCAATTTCTTCACTGAATATAGTATATTAATTTTTTGTCATTGAATTTACCCTTTCTCTTATTTTGGTCACTCTACCGTTAAACGACTTTAAAGATGACTTTTTTTAGAAAAACAAAATTTTCATCAAAACATTTACCTTTAATTATTTAACGACCGAGTAACAAAAAAATTCAGTGTGTTAAATTCAATGAGAAAATTAAAATGATTTAAAGTTGAGTAAAAATATAAGAAATTACAGTTCAATTTACTAAATATTTTAAAGTGGTATACACTCCTTGACCTTGTCAATAAAAATATAATATTTCGCCGATGTTAATTGTTTACATCTGTAAGTACCACTTATTTTGATTACACTCCTTGACCTTGTCGATCTAAATATGATATTTCGCCGATGTTAATTGTTTACATTTGAATATAACTTTCGCTTTTCATCATATAAAGATTTATGAGTTTTTCATAATCAATCAAAACATATATTTTATAAATCTCATGATTCAAAATCATAAACAATAATATCCTATCAACCAGAGCTTTTTTAATTTTACAAGATAAAGAATTGGACACGCATAACGTCGTAGTTAATATTAAACCATTGATTAAATTAATGAAATGACTATCCAGCTCAGTTGGTAGAGTACAAGGTTTTTAACCTTGAGATAGGTCTCTTACGAAAACTGATCTCAATCTAATGTTGAGGACAACCTATTATCTTACCTCTCCTTACCTCATTACATATGGAAACAAGAAACAATTATTGATTAAATTAATATTATAAATTTAGAAGTATCGACATCATTTGCTTGGTCATTTGAACCGACCTGCCGGATCTCCCTTACAACGACGCTCCAACACCAGCACCATACTCCCGATTACATTAGACTTGTGTGTCTTTAAAATAAATATATTACATCGTACAAAATTATTCAACACTGAAAAAAAAAGAATCACAACACTTCTATAGGCAATAAATTGAATTCCCATCCTTTCAACCCCAGATACGGCAATGCTACTACATGCACCCTTCTGCCACTTTCTTCCCTCCAAACAATATGACCGGACATCGCGTATTTTATAATGTTTTCATTTTTGGTATTTTTCCTAGTAATCATCACCATACATCGCGTAGATACCTGCCGCTCATTTGCAGGTTTTTCACCATGCTCTCAGCCTTTGAGCTGTCCAGTGATCCCTGCAATGAAATACGTAACAAAGTTGGTCCACCCACTTCGGAAAAACAACAAATTCGGAGTCCTAACACTTCTAATCTTTAATTTAATAGTTTTAAGGAGGAAACGGTCGGGGACAGACAAAATTTTATATTCAGGAGTAACAAAAAAAATGTTAATAATATATTGATAATTTAAAATTTTCAAGGAGTGACTGCTTCCATCCCTCCTCATTCTGCCCATCCCGGGAACCAGCCACCCCATGAATGTGACATTTTTCTACTAAAGAAAGCAAAAACTTCCTAGCTTGCAGTATAAAATAGCAAAAGGGCAGCTGGCAATCACATATTAGCAATTACTACATATTTACATGTATGTGTATGTGTAATCACAGATGAATGTACTACAACCATACCTGCTCTTGCAAAATAGTGTGTAGAGTTCGATGGACATCTCTGGCCATGCCCTTAGCATCACCACACACATAAAGGTAGCCTCCCTGAGAAATCATGTCCCATATGTCTGCGGCCTGCAAAGAAGAGGATGGGGGGACACGTGTTTCAGAGCTTCAAATGGAAATAATGGTAAGAACTGAACCGTACACAACTAGCCAAAAGAATCAATGTCGACAGAGCTTCTAACCCACAATTTGTGGTAGGTGAAATATGTACAGTACCTTCTCCATCATTTTATGTTGCACGTATTCCTTGGCAGGTCCCTCGCGTGAGAAGGCAACCACAAGCTCAGAAAGTGCACCACTGTTCACAAAGTTGTTGAGCTCATCTTCATAAATGTAATCCTGAAAGCAAATGTCGAATTAAACTTCCTAGTTTAAATTACAAAATGTATTCCTAAACCCACCGGAGATTTAGCACTAATCATAGGACTGGAAAGTGTGTGACTTACCGTTTGCCGGTTTCTGCAACCAAAGAACAATACGGATGGACCCAGTTCTGAGTCAGCTTCTTTCAGGGCAAGTCTTTCCTGAAAAAGAAAAGAAAGAAGATAATTAGTTTATAAAATTTGCTCAAACACGATGAACCTTGAAAAGAAGACAAAACCTACCTGAAGGAATCCCCTGAAAGGAGCCAATCCGGTACCGGGGCCAATCATAATAACGGGCACTTTAGTATCTGAAGGAAGTTTAAAGTTCGATTGCCTGACAAAAATGGGTGCCCGGCTGCAGTCCTGGATTTTCTCCAATGGCACAGCATTCTGTATTTAATGGAAAGAAATTCTGCATTATTAGACAGGAGAAAATAACGGATGCAAATAGGGTATCAATCAGGAAACATATATCATTTATCTCCTGAAAATAACTTAAAACGTTGAGCCCTCCTGACTGCATAAATTAGTATCAGAAAACATTTTTAGTACCTTCATCCAAGTTGAACAAACTCCTTTGTGAATACGACCTGTTGGCGTTTTCTCATAAACCAATGCACAAGTTACGTGAATCCTAGAAGGTGCCATCCTGAAACATGATTTTGGAAGGTAAGTACGTAGGAAGTGCTACGAAAAACAATGCTTTTAATTTCAAGAGGTAAACTGTAACACGCAACTGATCTGGAGATGAGATTCGTCACCCCAAAATCTAGCCAAATAACACAATAGAAATTTTCCTCTTGCAAAGCCAAAGACAAAGAAGATAAGAAAAATAATATTACCTTGGTGAGGATGAGATTGAGTAATATCTAGGCTGCAACCTTGGAGCAACCGCTGCAAAGAAAACACCAAGAGGAGGCCTAGCTGAAGGAAATTCAGCCATGACCTCAAGGAGGCTTCTCTGATTTGCAACAATCCATTGTGCATATTCATCCTGTATAATAAGAGGCCAGATGGTGTATCAGTATGCACATAAGCAGTAAAATAGGGTAACAATAGTGATATAAATTCATTCCTCTAACCTTTCCAGAAGGCGATGCAAGATGTCCTAGTCGATCGGCCTCAGTTGGATCAGAGGCATGAGCAGCCAAAGCAAGCAAGGCAGACTGGAAGTGGAATTCATTAAAGAATTAGCGTTTTTATTCACAGAGAGACCGCTATTATATGTTTATCAATAAAATAGTTAGTCTAACCTTTTTTGGCGAGCTCAAAAGATCAGCATTTCGTGCCAGCGCTGTTCTCAGAGTACAAGGTGGGAAAGGAGGCGGCAAAGAACTTCCACCAATTGGCGTACCATCCTCTTTATCGGTATGAATAGAGAAATAAGTGTCTGGTGATAAACCCATTAAACTCAATGCTTCATTTACAACTTCATCAAGGTTCTCACAGTAAACACCAACGTGATCCCCTGTTCCATATCTGCAAAGGAAGACAATTATGAGAAGACAAAGTTCACTATAATGTTAAAAAAGAAAACTTAAAGTTATCTACACTCATCATCTAGTATTAGAATTTAGAACATGAGGATAACAGGGGGAGGTGAAATTATATCAACACCAAAAATTTCCAATCCAGTAACCGAAGACTAAAGAAAGCAACTTACGAAAGTCCAGTGCCAGCAATGTCAAATTCAAGGTGGGTGCAAGAACGATCAGATGCAGGAGTATGAAGCTCCTTCCTCACAGCCACATCAGACCTTCAAGTTAGGGTGGAAAAAGGTCAGAATTATCAAAGCATCATATCAAACAAAATGGCTACCTGGACATCTGGAAAAACCATTCTAACGTACCTGCATGGATGTTGAGCATCATAAATAGCATGACCATTTGCATTACTCCACTTCTTATCTTCAAGGGGTGCATCTGCAGGATCGTAAAATACAACACGGTATTCCGAAACAGCAGCAGTGTATGGGGTAGAACCAGTTGTCACATCATCTTCATCGCGTAGAAACTGATCTAACTCTGGCCATACTAATTCACGCCTAGAAAAGCAACATAGTTAAATAAATGATATCAGGGGAAAAACTGATCAACCTTCTGATTAAAAACAGTGCTGAAGTTCTTAATACCATGCTGTAAAGTCATCTTCCATGCATTGGTCATCGTCTCCGAGACCCAAAGGAACTATGCGCTTTGCTCCTGCAAATATCATACGAGTAATGTTAGCAAATAGGGGCCTGATTTGGTGAAAACAAAATGAAGATGAATATGAAGCAAACGGTAAACAATCTTTTCCTACATGAATCCAAGCATTCACTACGTCAACAGACTATAATCAAAAGACGAAGAGTGCAGACTATTATCCTGCATCGCAATGTATATGGCATTCAGCACTACAAAGTTACTGAGGCTAGACTTGTTCCACTGTTTGAACGAAAAGAAGCATTTTAAAGGTCTGCTTTCATCTCCTTCGAACAAAGCATTCCCCTCATGGGTCATTAAAGTCACTAACTAAATACATGCACATTATTGCAATTCATTGAATTAAATAATATTTATGATAATTTAACTCCAAAATCCATTAGAGCAAGCAAATGCACACTCCCACAAGCATTATCATAGTTCACGGGAAAACAAAATAATAAGCAAACATTAACACATTTTTCATCCAAGAAGCCATTAAGACAAAAAGTAATACAATTAAAAAATCGAACTCATTTATTTAAGCAGGGAAGATAAAAGGAAGGTAACAACTATACCCTGATCAATAAGGATCTCATCAACCACCTTTGCAACCTTGTTAAAATGTTCATACTGTTTGTTACCAAGGCCGAACACTCCATACTTCAAGTTCTGAAGCCATTCTCCCCTCTCTTTTCCCTAAATACCAAACCACACATTTCAATAATATATCTAATTAAAAAATCTATATATAAAGGCAAATTATCACAATATGCTATAATCAAACAAACTAATTATGGTGTTTGACTAATTACATTAAAAATTTACCTCAGTGAACCATTTATAGAACCTAGCTGCATTATCTGTTGGCTCACCATCTCCATAACTACAAGATAAAAAAATTAACCAAATCAGCAAAACAAAATTCCCAATCAATATACAAATACAAAAGATATTAATATAATTAGCAATATATATACGTGTGTGTGTGTGAGAGAGAGAGAAAGATTCGAAATTACTCACGTGGCTAAGAAGAAGAAAGCCAAACTCTCTTTCTTCATCTTCTCCTCGTATTCATCATCATCCGCCGCATAATCATCCTATTTGTAGTAACGAAAAATTCAACGACTAAAATCACCAATTCAATTTAGAAAACGTTACAGAAAAGTCGAACTCAAACTTACCAAATCGACAATTTTAAAAGTCGCCTTTTCATACCGTGCTTTTGCCTCCTCGATTAGAGCCTGAGTATTGAAAAATATATATATTAAGCAAATGATGATCAAGAAAAACAAGTAAGAAATTTAAAAGGAATAATATATATGAGCGCGTATATAACGTGTAACCTTGGCGAAGCCTTCGGCGGTGCCCGTTTGAGTACCGAAGAAGATGGTGACCTTCTTCTTCCCGTCATCGACTTCCAGGTCGGGTTCTTTAAGGATCAAAGGCTTAGGAGGGTTGAGTTGCCTAGGTTTTTGAGAAGCGGATCTACGCCAGACAAGAATGACGACGCAGCCGATGAGCACAGCGATTGAGGTGGTTAAGATCATAACGAAGTCTCTGTTCTCGAAAAGGATGGCGGCTACCTCAGCAGAAGAGTTGGAGGAAGCGTTGGAAGGGTCCATATTGCGTTTGATTATGGCCGACATGAGATCCATAGGCGAAACTTTCAAGGAATCAGCAGCAGAAGACGATGATGAATCCATTTGTTTTGAGAACAGAGCAAGTGCAAAAAATGCACAAGAATCGGAGTGTGAAACAGACGACTCCTCTCGGTTTTTTTTCTTGAAATGAAAATACGGAGTTCGGTTGCGATGTGAAAGAGAATTGGTTGAACTTTAAAGGGGGAGGGGAAGGCTCAGAAAAATGGAGGGAGTGACGGCAGCTAGCGCCAATGCAACACCGCCTACCAAACCAGACTAGTCAAACCCACCTAACCCCCTATGTTAACCATGGTTAAATTTTGAATTGATTTTTGAGTAAATTATAACAATCATCACTGAACTTTACTATATCTTCTATTTCACTCACTTTACTTTAAATTCATTCAATTTTTAATTAAACTTAACATAATTAGCATTTTTGGTCACTTATCCATTTTCTCACTAAACAACATTATAAATGAACTATTATATAGATGCAAAAACTATGTTGTTTTAGTGAAAAAATTACTTTTCTAAAACAACATCGTTTTAATGCCGTTAAATATTTAACGGTTGAGTGACCAAAATGCTAATTATGTTAAGTTTAGTGAGAAAATTGAATGGATTTAAAGTATAATGAGTGAAATAAGAAATAAATAAAGTTTAGTGATTATTGGTATAATTTACCCTTGATTTTTTTTTACTCAACAGATTAATTTAAAAAAGAATACTCCACCATTATTCGGCTTTTAAGCCTTCATTGGACATTGATATCCTTTTCCAAGGATTCATAAAATCCAATCACTCGGATCCCATTCCATTATTTTTTGGAATAGAAAATTCCAGAATTTAATACACAATAAGAGTAAAGTTTGTGGAATGGTCAGCACTACAGGTAGGGTTATAAATGAGATATATAGATCATAAGTTATTTGATATTGATTTAGTCAAAGTTAATAAATATTTGATTCGATTGAACTCGATTCGATCTCTTAATGAGCTGAAACGAGTTACTTGATATTCGATTCGAAAAACTCGCAAATAAATCGAAAATATAATATATTAAGATTTTATTTTTTTAAAAAAATTATTAATAATATTAATATTTATGTGTTGATTTTAAAAATACAGTATAAAATTTTTCATGTATATAAGATTCAGGTTCGAGTTTGAGACTTCAATTGAGTTGAGTTTAATATTTTTTTATTACGAACTTTTCTATGATTTCACGAGCTTCAATTTATGATTTTGAGTTCGAATCGAACTTAAAAAAATTTAAACTCGTGAATTTTTAAATCGAGACGAACTCTATTTTAAATTTTTTAAACCGAATTGAGTTTAGTAATAGTCGAACTCGACTCTACTCATTTACAACCTTACTAATACATTTGGCTGCTTGGATTTCTTTTATTTATTTATTTTTGTATTATTCGATTGGGTGTTCTTGATATCACCTTCTTGTGATTGATGGACTCCTCTCAGCCGGAGTTTCCCATGTGTTATGCGGATCGTATACAGGGAACGTGTTATATATATATATATATTATAAGTTTATTTATCTAGTTTTTTAAATTAATTTGCGTGGCTATTTTTTTAATCAGTTTTACATAATCAATGTATTTTAGAAGTATCATTATTGACAATAAATGAGATAATTTCATAAAATGGAAATCGGACTGACAAGCACATAACATCGAAAAATTCTGCTGACTTGTGAAAATAAACATATTCAAAACTTTGGGGACCAATCTGGAAATAGGGTCATGATTTAGAGATAAAATTAGAATGTTCAAGAGTATAAGAAGCAATTTAAAATAAGAGTTATAGTTTGAGAAAATATGATGCAATTAACTCAATTATTTATAAATCACTTAAAACTAATTAAATTAATACACTGCATGCTTGTTCTGCCATGTAATATATATACACACGCACGCTTAAATAAATTTAGACTCGAAATAGTTAAATATTATAATAATAACGCCATCAGTAAAATTAAAAATCAATTAATCTTTAAAATAAAATATTTTAATTCTTTTATTTTATTAAAATGGAAGTAGTAGTAAATATAATAAAAAAACAAAATATAATAAACATATATACGTTTATTTTCACAAGTCAGCAGAATTTTTCGTTTGTGTTTTTATGAATAAAATACTAAAAACACGACGGCTTAATTTAATCATGAATTCATTTAATGCAAAATTCATTTTAAAATAATTTAAGTCAAATTCTACAACTTGACCAAACGTCACTACAATCCAAATTTCTTCGTTTTATTTTATTCTTTTTTCACGGTGAGCAGATAAGACTTTTTATTTAAACTAAAAAAGGTCGAAGATGTTTTTAAATATAAAAAGGCAACATATGACTTTCTCTAAGTCTTACTATATAGTTTTATACCATTTGACCGTTTCTTAATATGGCTTAGTTCACTGATTAATGGGATCATTATTGTTTCTATAGGTTATGGGTTCGACCACCAATAACTATAACAGAACGATTAAGCGTTCACCATCAAATGATTGAAAGTATTTAAAACATATACTATTTTGAAATAACATAGCTTAATCAATAAAACAAAAGAACACTAAACACTTAATCCCGATTAAACAATACTATATTTTATCATTATAATAAATGTGCACACACTCTGTTAAGGATGGTTAAGAGATTTTATGTTAGAAGTAAACCTATAAAAACTTAAAAGAGAAAAATTGTAGGGAGACAAAAACATATAATCAATAGAAAATACAAAGAAAATATCTAAAATATACGAGAATTTGATTTACGATAATTTTTTACTGGTCTGAGTGATTCCAATATAGTATATGTCCAAGACATTATATATCTTTTGACAATAAACCCTCATGCACCCTTACATACGTTGTGCTTTAAATCTAAAACATTGATAACAATTGTTCATGTTAGACTCTTCAAATGTTTTTTTTTTTTGCAGATTTCAAGAGATTTTTTATTCCAATAATCACATCATACGATAAGTTTTCATAAGTATAATTTTACTCTTCAACAATCTCGCTTTTTAAAATTTATAGCGTTAACTACACAAATAATCATTTATCTTTGTGTTTTGTCTATTTTTTGTTACTGATTTCAAAATACATAAGATATGGTCACTTCGTTCTTATTTAACGAAGATGTGGTCACTACGAGTTAACTACCATTAAATATTTTGGTATAATCACACATTTTTCCATAATATATAAATATTTTCTCAATGTAGTCATACTTTTAATAAATTAAAATAAATTTAATCATCAAATTGAATGATATCATTATCATTGGTACCACGTGTCACCATTCGGTTGGAAAACTAACTTTATTTTATTTTAATTTAACAAAGCAAAACACATTAGTAGAAAATAAATATATTAAATTCAAATAAAGTTAGCCCTCTAACTGAATGGTGACACGACACACGACACCAGTGACATCATTCGATTGAAAGATTAAATTTATTTTAATTTATTAAAAATATGACTAAAGTTGAAGAATATATAAATAATATGGATCAAATGTGTGATTACTTCAAAATATCACGTGATTTATTCCGTTAAATGTTAATTATAGTTGACCTGTGATGATAATATTTTATATAAATAAATAAAAAATAAACATATTTTAATTAAATATAAACGAAAGTGAGAACGTATTATGTATTTTGAAATTACTCGCCCATTGTACTCAAATAGTAAGAGTCAACTTTTTTTAGTATTAACACGGAGCGTAAGAAATTTGACTAATAAAAAGGGTCTATGTTTGACAAACCGATCCAATAAATGGATTGGACGTGCCAGTTGAAAACCAACAAATCTGAGAATCAAACTCTATTATTCATCATGGCTGTGTCTTTGGGCATGGGCAAATCAACTGGACCCCAAAACAGTAATTTTGTCCAATTTTAAATAGCCGAGGGAGTTGAATCAAACTATATTATTTATGACTAACGACTCCATGCTTAAAATATTTTTCTTTGATGTATACATTTTCATACTTATGAACAAATAAATTTTTTAATGTGTTAAGGCTTTGACACAATTCTAAAATGGGTAAATCACGCATTCAATATCTAAATTATCAGTTTTGATTCTTTTTTAGTCCCTAATAATTTATTTTATTTTTAAAATCATACCTAAAATTCAGTTTTGTTTCATTTTAATATCCCTTTTAAATTTTGAGAAAAACTGAAGGTTTAGGTATTAAATCAAACTAATAGTTTAGGTACTAAACGAATTAAGTTTTTAACGGATATGTACTAAAATGAAATAAAAACTAAACATTATGTATATTTAAAAAAAATAAAAGTTTAGATACTAAATTGGATAAAAATTGATAGTTTAAGCACTAAATGCGTAGTTTATCCTTCTAAAATTTTGACTGGATTTTACACCTAAAGCAAGAACCCATGCCCTTAGTCAAACACTTGCATGAACGTCTTGCGCTTGCAAAGTAAGCCAACCATATTCAACTCGTAATACATTGAGGTCACACCGGTTAAATTTGACATAAATTCAAAATTTTGATTTAATAGGTTTCAGTTGAACAGACAATAACTAGAATATATTTAATTTAAAATTAAAATTGATTTGAGCCTGACATAATAAATAAGTTGGAATGACCCAACTTTAAATTAAGTATAATTCTTAACCAGGGGTTCACTTTTCGGTTTTAACCGAATTAATCGGGCCGAATTAGTTCGATCGGAGAACGGTTAATATTTTTTAAAATATTCGGTTAATAGTTAATTCGGTTCGAAATATGTTAATTAACCAAATTAACCGAAATTATTAAATATTATATATATTAAATACATATTTTAAGGTTAACCCTATTAAGAATTAATACCCAATTATTTTTTAATCATGCTAGACTCATTAAATTATCAATACCTAATTAAATTCTAAATCAAATAAAAAATACACATATTATATTCAAATTAATCTAATTTAAAAATTATAAAAAATTTGGTTAATTATGTTAACCAACCGAAATAACCGAACTTTATTCGGTTCGGTTAATATTTAAAAAAAATTCAGTTCGATTAACTGTTAATATTGTCAATGAAAATTCGGTTCAGTCGGTAGCCGAATTAAGCGTTTAAACACCTCTATTCTTAACTCGTAATTTAAAATCTCATTGTTTTTAT